CAAAAATTATATGAAATAGATAAATTATTTCTATAATCTTTATTGATGCAAATATGATTCTCAAATCAAATCAGCAGATCTTTGTCCATATATATGAACATAAGTATTGAATCTCAACTTTTTTATTTATAAATTTATCTGTATCTTATTTACATTTTGTTAATACCAATTAAATTGAATATTGTACTTATGACTATTCATTAATTTTAATGCATGAAGCAATTAAAATAATTTTATATTAATAAAATTGATATTACAAATTATTATTTAATAAGATTCTCTAAATAAATTAAATGAAACTTATAAATTAAACCAGTGATATTTATAAGGTCTTTATCAATTAAAATACAATTATTGTTTATAATTCACATTTTTAATGTAAATAAAATCACTCATCATATCATATATGAACAATATTAATTTAGTTGGAATACATTTTCTCGAAATATAGTGGTCATAATCTTAAGATATTCATCTTTATTAAATAAATAGAATTTTGTACAACTTTGGGAAGTATTAATTAAGTTTAGATATGTAAATTAAATATTAAATATGAATTTAGATAAATAATACACTAAATAGTTTTATTTATTATTATTAGACTTAAAAGTTCTTATCTTCATATTTATTATATCAGATATATATGCTAGTTATGGATTATTATTTAAATCTAAATAATGATAAAATTGAGTATTTTTATTAGTTAATTTACCTAAAAATGATAAAAGATTAATAAAAATAGAGATACTAAAATAATTTTTGAATTTTCATTTTTAATGTTTGATTTGTAAGATTAATATCCATTTACAAAAATTAAATTTTACCACTATTATAGTTAATATTATGATGTGAATTCACTATTCTAGATAAATCATTATAAATAATAAAAATTATTAACTTCTTATCATTTGAAAGAATGGGTTCTATTTGTAAGCAAGGCTAAAAATCTTAGAATGAAAAAGAAATCTAGATTGAGATTTAGTTTACTAATTCTAAAGATAAATTTGAAGCAAGACATAAGACTGCTAGCAACTAATATAATTGTTAAAGTACTAGGTAACTTACATTTCGTAATGATGTTGCTTCAAAATTTATTAGTTTAAGTTAATCATCTGATTCAGAACCAAATTAAGATAATGACCCTGGGGATAAAAGATCATTTTTCTCAAATTTTTAGACATTTTAAGCTATGCCTTCTCAAAAATCCTCGAAATTTGTTTCTCCTTAATTTACATTTTTAGGAGATGAAACATCAATTGAGAACTAGTTCCAAAATAAATTATAGACTAGATAATTAGAGTGAGATTAATAATTTTGATGAGAGTAAAACGATTTACGTATTTAAAATTTATTTGAAATTCAAATATTTATTTTTTCATGTATGGTCCTTTGATAATAACATTATTGAAGTTAAATTAGAACACAAAGTGCAGTTAATTAAATAAATGAAATATAAAGAAGTATTGAGATTTTCTGAAGACCTTGTTGTATTGGCTTAAATTATTTTCTATAGTTGGGGTATCACAATTATTAAGAGATAGAGGAAACTTCCTCATTATTAGTAATATATTTTCTTAGTTTTATACTTGGAAGTACTATTTAAGGGATTTCTTCATTTTAACATAGGTTCTCTAATTTCACAAAAATGATGCTATTTTACCTAGGTTATGCAATCAAGGGAATATCAGTTTGGAGTTCAACTTAAGAAAATATTTCAATCTCATTAAATGTTCATCTAATAATTCAATTTCATTTTTCAAAAGAATAAAGTATATAATAAAGAAGTATGCCTTATTATGCTTTTTTCTTAATTTGCATTAATACATTTAATTATCTTACAGTAACAACAGATAGCTACTTTATTTTCTCACTTGATATCATTTTAGTAGTTTTGGATGCAAATCATCTCTCATTAATTTTAGATAAAAATTGTAGGAAGTCTTAATACCACTAACCAAATAGTACATTAAATACGACAACTAACTAATAAAAGCTAGGATAAACATTTTAATTTGATTTGCCTTCTGTAAAAAGTCCAAATGCACCTTCTAATTATTATGATAGATTTTCAACGAAGAAGTTAACATTTAATACTAAAATGGAAATATTTGAATGTACTATAAGATTAGAAGATTATTTAAAAAAAGAATTTGAGAATGATCTTTAGAAAAAAGATTTTAAAATTCAAGAAGAATTTTTTTAATTATCATTATTATACAAATATAATGATGTTACACATAAAATAAAAATATCAGACTTTCTTTCTGATTATTATGAAGAATTATCAAATATTTATTATTTTTCAATAGAAGACAATGATGCATTTGATTTTAGAGATACTGTTTTACTTATTGAATAGGTTAAAAATAGTGAAAGTGAAACACTTATTTAGTTATTGTTTTTAGATGTCCCTTAAAAATATTAAAGAAAATAAGGTAGAGTTAGAAAATAATTATTTTTTGATATGTGTAAATAAATTTCTCATGAACTTGGAACTAGTTTAAATTCTCTAATGACTTTTAGCAATTTAGCTGTTGAAGATGAAGGTATTTCAGAATAGATTAAAACAACTTATATTTATCCTATTTTAATTAATAGTGTTTAATTTAATTTAATTATTAATAATGTCAGAGATTTTACTCATTTGGGATTACAAATATTTTAACTTAAATTAGAGGAAATGTAAATCATTTAAACTGTAGAATTTATCAATACATTATTTGAAGAACCCTTATAAAGTAAAGGTATTGAATTATCAGTTTAATATCATTTAAAAAATAGATATTTAATTACAGATAAGGAACGATTTGAATAAATTTATTTTTAATTATTGTAAAATGCAGTTAAATTTACTTTATCAGGTTAAATTAGAGTTAATATATATAATAATGCTGATAGATTCATATTATCAATTGAAGATACTGGAATTGGTTTAAATGAAGTTGAAGAATAAAATCTTAATTATTTATTGGATAAAGATGAGTTTATTAAAGTTTCTGATAATTCTGTTGGATCTGGAATGGGATTAGTAATATCAAATATGATTGTTAAATAATTAAATAGAGGAATTCCTATAAAAGTAAAAAGATTATTAATAGGAACATAATTCTATTTTGAATTACCAAATGATATTTAAGAAAATTATTTTTCTAAATAAAAAGCATTAAGAGAATATTCATCAGGATCTCAATCTATAAAATTGTTATCATAAAATTCATATATTGAGGGACCATTAGGTTAATAATCACACTCTATTTCTTAAAATTTATCTTCATAAAGATTAACATTTAAGAAAAAGAGAAAAGAAACAAAATCATTTTCTGTTGTTCATCATTTTGAAGATGAAATTGAAAGTGAAGTTTTAAGTGAATCACATAAAAATAAATTTTAATTTTTACCTACTTTTTAAACAAAATAAAAGAAAGATATGTTGGAATATTGTTTATAAAGTGAATGTTGTTCAAGAGCATTAATTGTTGATGATGAATATTACAATATAAGATGTTTAAAATTAATTATGCAAAAATATGGAGTAAAATGTGATCATGCATTTAATGGTTAAGAATCATTATAATAGATTAAATAAAAAAAGGAAAAACCATGTGAACATTGCAATAATTAACATTATTTATTAATATTTTTAGATATTAATATGCCAATTATGGATGGATTTCAAACAATTAAATTAATTAAAACATAAATTTAAACAGAAGAAATTAAAAAGGTTTATTGTATAGCTACAACTGGATTATGTGATCTTTAAACTAAATAAAAGTGTTATGAAAGTGGAATGGATTACTTTATGACAAAACCACTTAACTAAAGTTTGCTTAAAGAAATTCTTTTAACATTTTTTCCTACTTTAGAAATTAAAGTTAATTGAACTTAATTGTTATGATAAAATATGTTTGAATTATCAACTTTGAATTATTTTTTTATTAATATTTATGATAATTATTAAGTTATATAATTCTTTTAGTTTTTTATATTGTTTTTAAGTATAATTTTGTAGAATATAATTAGTTTTCTTATGAGAATTAATAGGAAATTGAAAAGAAACTTATTAAAAAATTTAACTGTTATTTTTCAATTTTACTTTTATATATATTATTAATTAATTAATAATTGCTTTTTTAATTAGAATTATTGTATTTTTCGAACTAATTTTATTATTAATTAAGTTTATTGCTTATGTATTGGCTAGAGTATTTGTTTGATGCAAAGATTTTAATTGGCTTTGGGGTAGGTGTATTAACAGCTTCTCTAAGTCTAATCCCTACGCTGAGAGAACACAATCAAGAAAATGCGCAATCATAGATGAAATTATCAAATAAATCTATTCCCTCAACTAAGGACCTAAAACAAGTATATATAAAAGTAAATGAAAAACTATAATTTTAGACAGATTCATCATAAAAAGAAAGAAAAAAAAATAATCAGAACCCTGATCTGACTGAGTTAAATAAATAAGATTTCTATTTCAACTTAGACAATGGTATTAGAAAAAAAATAAAAGTGTAGAAGACTGATGAAGATTCATCTCCTAAGGATCATTAGTCATCCTAGAGTTTTAATGATGATGAAGATTCATAAAACATCATTGAATTAAATAACAGTAAAATATTTTATATATTATTAAGTAAATAATAAGAATGAAAATAATTAAAGTATTAAGGATAATTTAGAAGTCCCTTCATCTTCAAGCTAATAAGGAAGTCAATTAAATAAAAAAATAGTATCTGAACCATAAGATGAATAAAAATAAGATTCTAACTTTGTAGTAGGAAAGGGAAGAGAATAGGAAGGAGAAGAAATTTGATTATAATTCAATGATGCAATTTTAAATTCTAAAATGATATTCATCTCTTTAGAACTCATATTTTAATCAATAATAAAATATGTAAACTTAAATACAATAGTTTCTAAATACGTAATAAATCATAGATAAATGAAGCTATTATCCTAATCTAAATTAGAATGGCTAGTTTGATTTAGATTTCATGAATGAAGAAGAACTTTTTGAGTGGTTACATTAAAGATTATTAATTCTTATAATTACTAAGGATGTATAAATTGGAGTTAAAGCAATTTATCATTGGTGCTAAAAAGGATTTGGTAAGAATTAAGTTTTAATATCTAGTTTATAGAAAGTGGAATCCCTATGGTGAATTAAATCTTAATAGTATTAGCAGGACTATAGTTGAGAATCAACCCAAAAATGGTTGATGATATAACTTAATTAATTTAGGATAAAGAATATAAATAGAAATTAATAGATTAATTATCATAAGCTTAATAAAAACAAGTAAATTTAGAGGTTTCTAATGTAAATATTAAAATAAATATAGTCACCAAGAATTTTAAAGGCAAAAATTGATTAAAAGGAATCAGGATTATTTGGTAATATTTTAACAGCTCTAAGATGCTGGGATAAAAAATAAAAATGATAAACTCATATATAAATTTATTTTTTCTATATTTTTTATGAAGGTTTTTAATAATTCAAGAAAAATGTTTAAATTGATTCATCCTTATCTGAATGATTTGATTATTCAACTCTTATAAAATATCTTAACACATTGTATTTAATAAAATGAAAAGAATTTCAATGAAAATATTAACATCATTAATTTAATATTCTTTTTCTTTCAATATTGAATTTAAATAATAAAAATGTATATGTAAAATGTATATTTTAATTGAGTAAATATTTTAATTGAATATTGAAAATTCAAAAAATATTTGACTTTTATGAAATATATAATGACATTATCATACTCATTAATTTAGTTATTTAATACTTAATTATAATTTTTCATATTCTTCACTTCTATCTACTCTTTAATTTTTTGTAAGTTGATTGATTCTAATATCAAATTTTAATGCCTAGGTAAGATCAATAAGATTTTTGCAACATTATTGAAATTCATCCAAATCAATTTTAAGGTTGTTACAATTCATTTATTCTTCCTCATAACTTGATTTAATTCTCAATTCTTTGAGTACTCTTTTAGAAAAATTCCTTAGTTTTTCTAATTCCAAGTCTATATTTTCAGCTCTTTCGTTCATAAAATAAATATTAATAAAATAAATATAAAATGTCTGAATTTCAAATTACTTTATCCTTTCTTAATTTTGTAGCAATAAGTTCAAACAAACAAAATTCATCTCCTAAACTTTCTTCAGCTATAATATTTCTATCTTCCTTTTCCTTTAATTCAAGAAGATGCATTTATTTTGGATCTAATGAACTGCCATTCTCAAATCTAACCAAAATGTTCTTCTTTCTATTATATGGTTTTTAATGTTCTCTTAATAAATATCTAGCAAACTCAGTCATCAATTTTGAAGACTTTCTTAAATGTTTTAATAGACATAAATAAATTACTTATTAATAAAAGCATATAAATATATTGAATAAGCTCTTTTTATTTATTATGCATGTAATTTAGTTTTTTTCATAATTTCAAATAATTTATCTTTAGGTATATCAACAATCTCTTATATTGTATTAATTATCTAATTTAAATTAATTACTTTTAATACTTTATTTGGTATTATATCTTTAAAATGTTCATGTAAGATTTTAGAATCAGTAATGTCTCTCATCACTTAAAAATCTTCAGATGGATCTTCTAATGTAATTTATAAACATTTCTCATCTTCCAATCCTAATTTATAAACAGCTCTTAACATTCTACTTCCATGTCCTTTTCTTTAATATTATGGTAAGAATAACATTTGACTTAAACGATGTCTTTGTTTATTCCATCCGATATTAAACTTAAAAACAGTAGTCAAACCAACAAATTAACGTTTTTCATATAATGTTAAATAAACCCATTCATTTTCATCACCTGGATATTGTACTCCATCAATTAAAACTAAAAGAAATGCTTATAAAAATGGTTTGAATTAAATAAATCCATTTGTAGTTGCCATTTAACATTTATATATTTTGAAATCTCCATATTCTTCAATTAATTCTCCTAAGGGTTCCTGATTTTATTCTTCTTCAAGAGCTTTAATAAATTACTCTTCAGTAGATAGAAAGCCAGCCTCATATACTTTATTGAAGCTCTCTTATAAATCATCTGCATCCTCTGTTTACTCGCTATAAGATATCTATATTAGATATTCTAAAATTAAATACTTTAATATAAGGTTTCAATCCAAGTGCTGTGACATGAATTGTAATTTTAAGATCCTTATAGCCATAAATTTCATTTGTTTATCTAAATACTTAATGAACATAACTAGGTTAAAACTTCAACCCTTAATCTGTCTTATACTATTCTACAGTTTGCACTAGAATATATGTGATTGCTAAAGAGCCATTAGTAATAAATGGATCATCTTCTCTTTATACTTCAGGTGGTTTTTCAAGATATTTAAGAGCATTTAATCTTAAGTATTGTCCTTATTCTTCATCAAATAGGTTTGCCATACAATATATAAATATTATACATTTTGGCGCGAATCAAATTAATAAATAACTAGTTGATAGATAGTACATTTTATTAATTTACTTAAATAATTGATTAATTAGAAATTGAGCAATTGTATTTGTAAAAGAATCATAATCAAATAATAATTATTTATTAATTATTGTCAATCAATCTGATCAATGTATATATGATATTAAATATATATTAAATTCATCTTAATAAATAATTTGAATAGTATTTTCAATCCTTTTTTATATGAAATGAATTTTAACTCAATTCATACTTTTACTCATCTATTTTCATTATTATTATAAATTAATGGAGAAATTAGGTAATCTTTTTGAATTCTTTGTCACTGCAGGGATCAAAACTAATGATTAAGGTAATCATAAGCAATCAATCTAATTGTAGATGTGATTCTTTAATCATGTACTACTGCAAATAAGAAGGATCTTGCTATACTTACTATATTTCCTAATCCAGTTGAAAGAAAAATGAACCATGTTTTAGCAGATATTGCCATGGTAAAATTTAAGGAGATTATTATAATTTAGTGGTGCTTCCCTTTAGGAGTAAAGACTATCAAAGAGGGGGACAATAGATTTTCAAAAATAGAAGAATATTTTAAAGAAGATGATGTTTAAGCATCTACAAATGAGATCAATTACTTTGTTATCAATGATTTTAAATAGCACATTAAGTTTTATTGTACATCAGCATGCTTTTACGAAAAGATGTTCTTAATAATGCCACCAAATGATAAATTAATGTAGGTATTTGTACCTAAAGCTTTTTGTGTCATATCTCGATATCCTGCTTTCATTCCACAAAGAAGTTTTTTGATGCAATTGCTAAAAATCTAGAAGCTACGTCTTTCATAAAATAGAGAAAGAGATAAAATAATTACTATAAAAAGAGGACAATAAGAATATTAGATTGAAGAAATCAAACTATATGACTTTTATATTAGAACAGCACTTACTTAATGTCCTATTGTATAGGATAAGTATTTGTATTTCAATAAATAGCAAGCGTAGAATATAGGTTAAAGTTCAGTAGTTCTGAGATCTGGATGAACTATTATGTCTCCAACTCACATTTAACAACACACTTTTCTATTTTTAAGTTATCAAATAACCTTTTTGATGTTTTAATTTTTAATTAACCTATATTTAATTTGTATAAGTTACTTTTATACTTGATGCTTGAATATTAGATAATAATAGTATCTCGTAAACCTGCAGGAATAACATTGTTTTGTCAATCTTTAGTAGAATTACTTGCTCCTTTATAATGGCGTGGTCTATTTATTCCATATTTAAGACCTGGATCATTTGATTTTCATAAATCCCAACTACCCTATATAATTGGTTTAGATAGAAATCTTTATGAAATAGTAAATAAACTAATTTAAATTAGTCTGAAAAACCATTACCAAAAGAATTAAAAAGAGTTATTTATGATATAGATGATGGACGTATACTATCAAGATCAGATGATCCAAAATGTCCAAAATAATATTAAAATTATTTCATTCGTAAAATGAATACTGTATTTGCAGATCTTAAATTTTATGAAAATGTAAATAATATATATAATAATATAGGAAATCTTTGAAGAAGGTATAATGAAATATCGATAAGCATTTTATAATTTTAAATTATTAATGCTAAATGATATTTATAAGTATTTCAGTACTGATACATCTAATTAGAAATCAGAGAAAAAGGTTGTTATGTTTGATTATAAGAAATTTCTAACATCATTTGAAAATTAAGATTAACTGTTTTTTTTACAATTCCTTAAAACTTTATCTTTTTAATAATTTGTAAAAGATCTCTATAAAGTTATGGAATATAGAGAAGAGTTTATTAAAAATAACATATAAAATGTAGAATACTATTTTAGTAGTGTATTACAATTCTTTGATGATGTGAGATTTCTTAGTATTCGCTTTGGAGAATAAACTTTAGATGATAAATTAGTAATATTAGAAAATCTACAAAATAATTATATCAAAGCAGTACTTGAAAGATAAAATGAATCTAGTAATTATAAAGTAGTAGAAATGAAAACAACTGATTTCATTCCTGAATATTTAGAACATCTTAAAAATAGTAGTCTTAATCTTAGTATGGAAATGCAAGCTTTAGCTAAATTCATTTAAACAGCTCCCTAATAAGAAGAAATAATTGTTGAATAACAATAAAAAATAATTTAATAAGGTGGACCAGATATGAATTAATCAGAAGAATAAGATAACATTTCTTAATAATCCTCTAAAATTCAGTCCGATAAATCAGATCAACATAGTTAATTTCATCATTCATTACCTCCATAAGAAAAAGTCAATTGGGAATTATAAACTATAGCTGTAAGCAATGCATCAGAATATAGAAAATAATATTAAATTAAACATTTAAATCTTATAAATAAAAGGAATACTTTTAAAAGAAAGAATCTCTTAGAAAATGAAGAGGAAGAAGAATAAATGTAATTGAATCAAAACACAAATACAAATAACTTCATTGTTACCAATATTGCAGATAAAAATATGCTTAGTCTGCCTGTTAAAGATAATTAATCAATGGCGGCTAGATCATATTTTAATAAGAGTATGGTTCCTTTAATTGGAGATTATGGAAATGCTGAGATTATGGTTCCTAATTAAGATAATATGATTTGAATATAATTTATAATGCCATAATAATGATATTTTAATTTACAAATTTATATAATAATTTAGAACTAATTAAATCAAAAATTAATTTTCATTAATTCTTATATTCTCTTATTCAAATGAATAATATATAAGAAATTAAAAATATCTTAATTTAAAACACAATATATTTTAATCTCTTTTATTAAATACAAGTAATAATTTAATTATAATATAAAAATATATATATATATAGATTAAAACAAACATATATATGCTCATCATTTTTAATTCTTAATGAATTGCAAATAGCCTTTATTGTTTTAACTCAATAAGTATTTAATTTTCCTGATCAAACCTAAGTTAGCTAAATTATTCTTTAATTTATTTCTATATTCTCTCTATTTGATAAATTAATATGAATACTTATTATCCTTCCATATCAGATTATAATTATTCTTGTTCTGTTTACAATTAAGCAATCTTTTTTTTTAAATCAGCTTATTAATTTGTTAATTTATCTAAATCAATAGAGGATCTTTCAAATATTTATTTAATTTAATCACACTAAATAATAATAAAATATTTTACTTCTGCAGATCTTTTATCAACATCCTTTTTAAGTTCATTTTTTTCAATATTAAACAATTCTTATCTCTCATTACTAACAGCTTCAATTTCTTCTGAACTTGATTCTAAAGCTAATTATAAGGTTTTTAATAATTAAGGAACTTCTTCAATCAAATGTGCATTCTCAGGTGCCAATAATGGTTTTAATGAAACTTAATATTTAAAATATGAAAATACATAAAACTAAGGTATAAGGGTTATCAATAACTACAGTATCTAATTCGTTTCTAATGTCATTACACATTGATTTAAATTTATTCAAATCATCATTCTATTTATTATTAGCTAAAAATGCTGGTGATTCACTTAAATCTGGTTTTTTGGCTAAGAAATGTGCTAAACCTGAAAATTGTTATAAAAATGAATTAATGACTTTAGAAGTTTAGCTTATTTCCTTTTTTAAATTTTAGAGTTTATCAATCTAGCATATTATATATTTTAAATATACTTCATCATTACGAATAGCTTACATTTATGGTACAAATTTATTCTCTTCTGTTAATAATCTTTTTCTTTCTTCATATATTTTTTCTGAAAATTCTTTTTCTTTTGTAACAATTGTAAGTTCTTCACCAACATTCTATAATTAATATTTTGATAAAAAGATCTTTTATTTCAATGCTTATTTTCTCTCAATATCTATTTTATAAATTTTGAATATTAATACTGCTTGTATAGACAGTCTAATACTCTTTCATTGTTTTTTCACTATCCATAACTAGCTCAGATTCAAAATGATTTAAATTGATTATCAAATCTACAGGGTCTTTTGAATATTATTTATATATAATTACTTTAACTAGATTTCAGAACTAGCTATTATTCTTTTAAAACTTTTTTCCCATAATCACTTTGAGTCAAGAATTCAAAATCTTTGACAGAATCAGTCGCAAATGTGTATATACACAAATATGCTAACAATACAATTGGTTTCATCCGTTTTTAATTTATATTTCATTAATATAAGCAGAAATAATTTGTATACAATACATATAATTCTAAAAATAATCACTATCAACCATTATTGATATATTACATCATGCTCTTAATACACAACTGTAGTATTTAAAAAAATAAGGACTATTATGATTAAATAATATAATATAAAAAGTAAATGAGGAAAATTCATTTTATAAAAACACCTTTTTCCCAATATCCCTCTATCACTTTATCTTTATTTTATAATTTTCCATACCCATGATACATTCCATCATACCATTCTCCTGTATATACTTTATCTTTAGAAGTGAATTTTCCAAATCCTTACTTTCTTCCCATATGATAATTTCCTTCATATTTTTTCCCATTTGGCCATAGAAATCTTCCATATCCATGCATATTACCATCTTTAAATTCACCTTCATAAATCTCACCATCTCCAAAATAATAAGTACCTTATCCATTAATTTGATTGTCAGAAAACTCTCCCTCATACTATGAATCATCTTTATACCATTGAATTTTCCCTTTTCCATGCTTCATTCCATTCAAAAATTCTCCTTCATATATATAATATTTGTTATAAATCTCAATTCCATGTCCAGAAGGTAAATTTTCCTTCCATTATCCTTCATATTTCAATTAATTTGATATGTATTTACCAAACCCATGTTGTTAATCATTTTTGAACTCTCCTTCATATTATTCTCCTTCCTAAAACTTAATTTTTCCTAAACCGTTTGCCATATCGTTTTTCCAAGTCCCTTTGAAATATGATCCATCATGATAAAAAAACTAACCTTATCCTTCTCTTTTTCCATCAATTAATTAACCTTGATAAACACCGTTTGGGTATTCAAAATAGTCAGAGACTTAAGTTGTTGGTGATTAAACTTAAGAATCATGAATACTTTCGTAATGCAATGTTCTTTTACGATGTAATTTAAGATTGAAAGGGACTTTTTTGACTCTGTCATGAAATTGTGATTTTGTACTGTTTAGTGATTCAAGAGATTAAAACTTTCCTAAATCAGAGGTATTAAGAAAATGGATTTTGGGATCAAATTTGTAGACTTAAAATGAATCAGATTCATCTTCAATTTCTACAGATTTGAACTCATTATCATTGATTTCAGCATGGTTACATTAATTTCCCATTATAAAAATAATATCAAATTTTAAACTGACCTTCTTTTTCTTTTGGTTCATCTTCATCATCCATATAATCATCATCCAAAAAAGAACTTAAGTAGGAAGAAGCAGTGAACTTAATATGTTTTAAAATTATTACTGAAGGAGTTTAATCCATTGATAAAGCTTATTTAATGGATTCACTATCTTATGATAATGTATTATCATGTCCATTAATTTCACCATTATTTAAAACAACTGAATATGGATTCTACTAACCCAAAAAGACTCTTCTTATGTAAGAATAAAATCTATTTTTTACTGCATTTTCCTAATAAATTAAAATTATGTTTACTGGTCTTCCCTTCAATTATTTTGAAGCTACACTCCACTTAGCACCATACTCTTTATAAACCTTCAATATTATCTCATCTTCTTATTTAGTCCAAGGAGATGTATTAATTGAAGGGTCTAATACATTTAGATATCTTTCCCTTATTTGCTTTCCACTTTTACCTGGTAAATGTTTTGCTATTTCTGCCCAATTCTTATCATATTGTTATACTAAAAAGGATATATTTTTATCTTCTTCTAAAGTCCATTTCTTTTTATTATTCTTATAATAAATAAAAAGATATACTTCCTAAGGATTTAATCTTCTCCATCTTTATGAACATTAATTCATATTTCTTCCTGGTAATTATTCTGCTATCTTTCTCCAATTTCCATTAAAATTTATGTAAGCCTATCGCAAAATTGCATCTTCATTCTTATCCCATAGTTTAGCATGACTGACTTCTTTTTTCTCAATTTTATCATTAACTTATTTTAATTGTTTTTTATCTTTTTGTATTCTTTTTTTCTCAATTTTTCCAGTTTCTAATGATAATTAGCTTTATGATCTAAAGATATCTTTATATATTTTTCTTACTTTATCATTTATTTTTTTGGGTATTCATCTATAACATCTAATTATTAAGTTTAAGCAACATTATTATACCTAATGTTTTCTAAATTATATCTTACTATGGGTATTGTCCAGACATTATTTATTAATCAGATGTTGGTTAACTACCTGGATTACTACCTTAATAAGGACCATTATTAGAGGAAATTGATTTTGCTAACATAGAAAACTGAGCTAGTTAATTTAAAATATCATTTTATCTTGACAGTTCCAATGCTTCCCAGCTAGCCATCTTATTAGATTTATTATCAGATAATGAAAGAAACCCTTCCACAGGTTCCACTCTTAATAATAATTGTCAACATACCTTCCATCTCAATTGATGTTTTTACTGCCCCTTTATTTATCATATTCTGAAATTGATTCTATTATTGTGATTACTACTATTGCTGCCGCTTCTCCTAAGCTTCCTATAACTTTTGCCTTAATTCCTAGGATGTAGACTGCAGAGCTTTTTGTTCAACAGGAGATGGTTAATATCCTTAGCCTGTATCGAGTAATGGTTTATTAGAATCCTCCTTTATGCTTATAGGTTGATCTTATGCTTCCTGTTTAGACCTTTTTGCACAACAGAAATTTAACCATAAGTCAACAAACATTTCTTTTTGTCAATAAAAATTATGAATTCAAAATTTATAAATTAACTTATCATTTTCTTACTTGTACTCTGTATCATCATATTCAACTGTATTTTTTTTAAAGTAAAATCTCATTTATAAATATTTAAATAAATAAGACTTATTAACATTATCAATCGTATTAATTACACTACCTTATTTGTCATTATTATAAATTATAAAAAATTATTTATTTTTTATTAACTTTATCATCAATATTGTGTATAACTTTACTTTCTATTTCAATTTATCCAAATTTCTAATTTTTATTTTATTTATGTTTCCCTCCATTATAATAAATTAAACTTATTAAATTTAATGCAATTCAAATCTACAAATGAACACAATTCACAATTTAATTAAAATACAAAAAAAAACACTAAAATTCCAATAAATGGCTACACATTCCATTACCAAATTCAGCCTAACTAAATCAATAAATAAAGAATAACTCAAATTATTAAAATAATAATTACATGATTCAAAACATCATGATTCTCAAACCAACAATTCACAATAAAATGAAAACAATCTTACTCAGCAATTATAAAATCTCAATTCTCAAACTCTAAGTTTTAATTCTATTTTCAATGAAATTTAATAACAATAACCATTTTCATATACTCAAAATTGCACTTACCTAACACAAAATTTTGATTTATCATTAAATATAATCCTTAGAAAATTATCTATTCAAAATCAATATGAAATAAAAAAAAGAATAAAAAGTTAGAGAAAACATACTTAACCAATACAAAATACTAATGAAGGAACTATAAAAGTGGATTATTAATTTTGATTTCAAATTTTTTATATATTCCATTAATTATTTTTGAAAAAGATAACTTAGTTTATTAGTATCTAAAATTCATGCAACATAATTCTTGATATATTGAATATTGATATTGGAATCATTTATTATTGTTTAATTATGAATTTAGAATTTTTACATCAACAAGATATCTCATTTTTTTAAATTTTTATTAAATTAATCTCGAAAGGATTAATTTTATATATTGAGAAAAGTTATATTATTTAATAATAATAAGATTTAATATAAATATATATATATCTCAAATTTAGCTGTTTATTGCTTACTATATTGTATTAATTAATATTTTACAATTAGATCATCTGATATTTCCTTGTTCAATTTAAAAAATTAAGAAAATTTTTAAACTATATCCTTGACTAAATCTGGCAATAGTTTGAACATTAACATATGTTATGCAACTTAAGTAAGAATGCTTAAAATACTACAGTTGATATTTTCCTTTGTTCCCTTTTTTATCTTAGATATTTAATTTATAATAACAGATTCCCAATAATCACGATATTACCAAATTTAATGATTCACTAGCATGTTCTACATATACTATGTTTAATTATCTTTAGTAAATAATCCAAAGCTATATTGGAGTAACTATTAAGCCAATATGGCATTCTTATTTTCATAACACTTTATTTACTAACTAATATAATTACATAATCCAAAATTCCATTAGAAATATTTGTACATTAAATAAATTCTTATTGAGTTAATTAAAATGTGTTTGAATGAAACTTTTATGATAAGAAATTCAAAAATTCTTCTTATTTTTATGGTGATTCTTATATTTCTTTTGTTTCTTATTAAATTTATTCTTCTGTTTTATCAAGTCCAATAGGATAAATATTAGTTGTATTTATTTATTATTAACCTTACCTATCCAGTAATTTAGTAAGAAAGGATTCTAATTCTATATTATAAGTTTCTTATTATTTTGTCTTTTTAATGAATTCTTCAATAAATTAATTTTAATCTTAATCATGTAGTCTCTTAAATTATAATTTATTAAATTACATCAGACATTTTTTCTAAATCATATAAATAATTCTTTGCAATAGATGACTCATATACAAACACTTTTAGAATACAATCCTTAATTGTATTGAGTCTCTATAAATTTAATTATTAGATTTAATCTAATATTTTTTCTGCTTCTTATTCATTCAAAATTTGTTACATTTCTAATTTAACTTCTAAATAGTTCTCCTTTGCTAATAGATATTCTTTTTTACATGCAGCAGCTCTAAACATATTGAACCTAATTATACTTATATTTTTGTTTTTCAAGTTTTTCTGGTTAACAAGCAGAAAATACAAGTTCTAATGCACCTTCAATTTCATATTCTCTTTTTTTATTCTTTAAATATCCTTCAGCTGATTTTACATTTGACTTAATTGATTATAATTAGCTATCCCACAATTTTACAAATTCTATGTATTAAGTTGCTTTCTATTAAACTACTAGTTATTTTATTATCTCTATTTCTCCCTTTATTTCTTCAGCAAATTATGATGATAATTATGCTCTGATTCCAAAAGATGCACTAAAAAATTCATTAAGTGGAGCCAATTTTGTTGCCAATTTTTCAATTGCTTTTGAATACTTCATCTCTATCTCATATCTATCTTAAAGACAATCACATATTATTCCTGTTTGTTGCCATCCTAAATTTGTATTAGAAATAATAGCTTAAGCCTTATTTTTCAATTATTGACTATATAACATATAAGAATTTTAATAGTTATTTGAAGAATTTTCTTTAAAAAAAAAATGATAATTAATAGATATATATCCATACTTAATTACAAAATATTATATTTATAAAGATTTATGTTAGAAATATTATAATATAGATATCATCTTAAATGTTAAAACTTTTTTAAAGTATCTTCTCTTAAGTTGTCTTCACTTCAATTAACAAGATCGATTCTTTCAAATAAAGTCTTTTTATAAAAAGTAGAATGTTTATTCTTATTTATCTATCAGCTATTTTTAATAAATCTACTAACAAAATATCATAGATCCACTTAATCATTATAATTGAATAGAAGTAGTATTTAATTTTACAGAATTATCTCTTAATATTTGATTTAAGAAATTATATTTGAAATAATTTACTCTTATATTTATTCTTTATTATATGTTGAATAAATCGCGCTTTAGTATATGAATAAATATTTTTCATTAACACTAATTTAAATATAATAAACAGTCTATCAACAATGTTTTTCAAATTTAAATAACCTTAAGCAAAGAAATATTAAATGATTATTTTTAAACATTCTTGAACAATATTTTTATAAACAAATCCCCTACACATTATGGATATAATTGTCACACAAATAAAATGAATGAACAAAAATTAGTGAATATATTTCCATTATGATACAACCTTGGAACCTAAAGACTAGAATTTAATTCATAGTTTATTAAATCCATCATATACAAAATTAAACTCATTAGTGTTGTTTTTATATTTATTGATACAAAAAAGTTCATGATTTGATCTTTCCTTTTTTATCTATATATGCATTTTTATCATATATATATCCTTTGTTTAATGCTAATTAACTCATCTAGTTTGTCAGTTAATAAAATTATTATATAAATGAAACTTGTTTAAGTAAATAATAAAATTTGAATGAAATTAAACTAAAAATTATTAGAAAGACTAGATGAGTCTTTAGCTTAAAGTTTTCTTCTTAAATACTAAGAAGAGAAAAATAGAAAGGTTGCTCCAGAGGAATTTATCAGTGATGATTATAAAGGAAATTTTAGAGTAAGATAAGTTGGAGATCGGCAAGAAAATATGAAGAAAAGCAAACTTGATGCTATGTCTACTGCCACATCCAATTTCTATAAAGAGACAGCCACACCAAATTCATCTAAGCCTCCTTCATCTATTAATACATCTAAATTATTAGATTAAAGTAAGATCTCCTCACTAAAGCAATCTATTATAACAAACAGAATTACATCTGCTTAGCCAGCAAGACCTTTAATGATTAAAAAATTATAAAAGAATACTGAATAATTATAAATTGAACCTAAAGAACAAAAACCTCCAATATTTGCATTAAAAAGATTGTCATCTGCCAAATAACAATAATAAGATGAAGAAAAGTCTATTATATAGAATTAAGAATCTAGTCTTAATAATTCTTTAGTAACTAAGCCTTCAATATTAAGAAGATCTTCATTGACATCACATGGAAAAAAAATTGAAATAAAAAAAGAGGAAGAAGTTGAAACAAAGAAATTGTCTTTACCTAAAAAGTAAGAATCTCAAATATCAGAACCTATATTTTAATTTTAAATAGCCAAAAAGAAAGTTGATGATATGATTTACGATATTATGGATATAGATACTTTATAAGAAATTACAAAAAAAAATGAAGTAAAAATATATCTCATAATTATAGAGTTAGTTTGATTAAATAACATCCATTTAATTTAGATTTAATACAATGAATGATTCATTATATATGTTAGGAGAATACTTATAAAATTTACAAGAACTTAAATTGAATAATTCATAAATTGAATCAATGAGATTATTAGGAACTAAATTGAGAAACTTATAAATTCTTTGGATTAATAATTCTAAATTAACTGATATTTCAGGTATAATTATTAAATTTATTTATTTTTTAGGAATTATGAGTATGCCCAATCTTGTAGAGTTTTATTGTTCATTTAATAATATAAAAGACATAAGTCCATTGGCATTTCATGAAAAAATATCAATTTTAGATATTGAAGGTAATGAATTAGCTGACGAATCCTAAATTGATTATTTAGAATCTTTAAATTTACAATAATTGTTTATTAGTTCAAATCCATTAATAAAAGATAATAATTTGAGAGATAAACTCTATGAAAAATTACATGCCACAGAAATTTATATTGATGATAATGATATACCTACAGAATCTTAAATAATTTCAGAAAATAGTCAAATCAAATAGTTATATGATATAGCAGAAATGATGAATTCAAAATTTGATGTAATTTTTATTAAATTACACTTAGCTTATAAAAGTAGAGGATTTGAAAGATTTAGAGGAGTAAGTCAAAAATTAATTAGACAAAGATATGTTGGAAGAACCTGATGAAGATAGATTACTTAGTTTAGCAATCAAATAAAGGCCTATTGAAAAATCAAAATTAAAACGACCATAAACTGCATAAGTTTAACAAAATTATAATGTAATAATTTTATTTTTAATTATTATTAGCCTGATCCTACTTCAGAGTTAATTGGATTAGATGAAGCATTTGCAGGTAATCCTATTAAAGCAGCCAAAAAAAACAAATAAAATAGGGAATAAATTTTTGATCCTACTGATAGAAAAAGTATTGACATATAAACTTTATTAAATAAGTTCAAATGAGTAATGTAGTTAAATATAAATATATAGAATCATTAATTTCTAAGGTCATCTATTATACCTTTTCTCTCTAATTCATTTATTTCTTCTTTATCATACCATTTTACTCTTTTTCCTTCTACCCACTCTCCTATTCTCATTACATTATCACTTGAATAATAAATTCCAACTCCATGTTATTTACCTCCCTACCATATACCAATATATTTTCTTCCATCTTCCCAAATGAACACTCCTTTACCATGTTTCTTATCGTTTTCATATTCCTCATTAATTATAATTAAAAATACTCCTTTATATTTTCTTCCATCTGGCCATTTAATTTCACCCTTACCATGCATTTTATTTCTCATCCATTCTCCTACATACAATCTTCCATCTGGCCATTAATAATTCCCAAAGCCTTGAATTTCATTATCATAAAATTCACCTAAATTGTGAGTGCCAGTTACCTTGATAACAAGAACCATCAGCAAAATTTAACTTGCCTTTGCCATGCTTTTTACCTAACTAATAATCTCCTTCATATTTAGCTCCATCTGGCCATATCTCTATACCTCTTCCATGTTAACTATCATTTAACCACTTACTAATGTGTTAAAACCTATACTTCTCCTTAATATTTGGCCCCATTAACATGTACATAAGTCCCTAATCCATTTGCAGCATCATCTACCCAATCCCCATCATAAACATCTCCATCAGCATGTATAAGTTTTCCCTATTTATATTTATTCAATTTTACTTTTCCACAAGATTTATCTTCTTTCCATTCTCCTTCATATATAGATCCATCTGGCCAAGATTATTTTCCATATCCATCTCTCTTGCCTTCTAACCATTCTCCTTCATATTATGCACCATTTGGTAATAATATTACCTAGATATTATATCATTTTTTACTGAAAGCTTAATTCTCTCTCCTACTCCTACAGTCTTTTGTATAATAGGATTTTAATTTGCATCTTAAATTTGAATTGGAAGATTCTTTTCAATTTACTTAATGGACATCTTACTATGTTGTGATGATGCCATTAAATCAGAAACAGTATCACTTTTCTTTTTTTATGTTTTATTCTCAACTTTTTCTTCTTCTTTATTTATTTGTTGAGAATGTTTTGACTTTTTAGTTTAGATTTCTAGAGATCTACCAGAATTTTTTATAGTTAAAATCTCTTCCTTAGTACAACAAGTATTCATTGTACAGGTTTAGCCCATATTTGGTATTTTGAGAAATAAATATTAATTCTTTGAATTGAAAAATAAATTTTTTTGTAATAATCAACTAATCTTACAACAACAGAAGATTGAAATGTTAATTATAATAGATTTAATATTAATTTGAAAATCCTTCATCATTAAATAAATTAAATTATTTTCGATTCCTAATTTAATTTAGATGTTCTGATTTATTTCATATAAATAGTGTAACAATACTTAATAATTATATATTTAAATAAATTATTTTCGACTCAAATTTACAATTAGTCATTATAAGTAATAATAAAATCACTATTCAAGCTTTGATTCTTGATTTAAGATTTTCAATCTAATCTACAATTTTAGCAAACATTCTTTCAAATAACTATAATTTAATTAGAATTTACTTCATTCACATTCTCACCTCCAGCAGCACTACATATCATTCCTTCAAATCCCTTCTTCTTTGCATAAGCAAGAATATCCCCACTATCAACTTCTTTATTCTTTAAATCAGATTTATTCCCTACTACATAAACAGCTGCTTATTTTAAATCTAATCCATTATCAGTCATCATCTTTTCCCATTTAGGTAAATTTTGAAAAGATTATCTGTCTGTTAAATCACAAACTAAAACAACTCCTTAAGCATCAGCAAAGAATGGATTTCTGATTTCTTTATAATCTTCATCACCTGATAAATCGAAGAAATTTATCTAACATGAATTCAAAACTTCATACAGCAACCTTCTTATTTTAAATCATCATCTTTTTAACACCATAGTCTACTCCTATTGTTGTTACATATTTATTAATGAATCTGCCTTCACAAAATCGTTTAATCAAACATGATTTACCACTTTAAGTATCTCCAACTGAAATGACTTTGATTAATAATTATTAATCTTACATATATTAATATTTTTATTAAATAAATAATATGAAATTGTATTTAAATTCATTACTATATATTAATATTTGACATCTAATTATTATTTAATTGTCTTACAAACAATTATTATTTAAATGTATACTTAATATATTTATTTTTTTAATCCAAATATATAAGTGCAAAAATTAATTCTTAACGTTAATATTAAAAATCTAATTTTCTGCAATAATGAGTTAATTTTAAAGACCTACTTCATCAAGAAAAGGTACAAATAATCTTCCAACATAATCAGGTGATTTAGAAGAATATATGTATTATATAAATTAGATAGTAGTCAAATATTATTTGATCATTAAAAGAGTTGTGAGAAAGCTGGAAAGTATTTGGAAGCAGATTAAGCTAAAAAAAGATTAGCAGAATTAAAAAAAGAATTAGATATAAAAAATAAAGGAGATGTAAAAGATAGACATTGTTCAGAGAAATAAGAGATTGAGAAAGCACATCTTGAAGAATTCAATTAATTTAATTAATTTTGGGATTAAAAGATGATAGAATTTGATACTGAAGCACAAAAGATTAAAGAATTAACACTTTAAAGACATGAAGATGAATTAAGATAATTTTCTGAAGAATTAGAAAATTCACTTCCTTTAAAACCAAAAGATTCAGCTGAGCTTTTAGCTTTGAAAAAGACAGAAGAATAATTGGCTAGATAAGAGAAGTATTTTTATATAATGTTATATATTTAGTTATTTGGAAGCTCATGTAATTCAATCTAGAATTTAGACATAAGAAAAAGATGAATATGAAAAATGGACATCATGTAGATAATAAAAGATTAGAAATTTAATTACTCAATTAAGATAGAAATAAATAAATGAATTGAATGCTTTAACATAAAGAATATTAAGTGGATAAGAAGAATAAAGAAAAATTCGATCTCAAGAATTAGAAAAGTGAATTTGTTGATCTAATTTTAGGTTACTATAAAAATATCAAAATGTGAGAAAAGAATTAGAAAGTCAATAAACTTAAGAAATTACTAGACTAGATAAGACAAGCAAAAATTAATGTATAATATATATATTTAGAATTTATAGCTATTATGTAATAATCCAGAATGAATCAATCAAGAATGTAATAAAGTTAAACAAAAGATGAAAATCAGTATATAAGATGATATTTAGTTAATATACTTTTATTATATATAAATTAAAATTCAATATGGGTTCAGCATGCATTAAAAAGCAATCACATCCGTAAAGATAATAATAACAGCGATAAATTTAATCTCGACAATCATAAAGTACAAATGTATCAACACATTAAAACACACAACGTCAACCTTCAGAATCTTAATAACCTTAATAGCAAACTAACTAGATACATATCAAAGAAAATTCATCTAAGCTATAAATGAATAGTGGAGTAAATCATTATAATTATTTAGTTTACTTCACCAAGATCTGATTTAAATGATAAAACTCTACCAAATAAGAACGAACTAACAAAAGTTGAACCTTTAAAACATCGCTTTCTTTAATAAGAATCTGATAGCTATCTTTTCAAAAATAATGACGCCCCAGATTCTGATATAGCAATTTAAGTTAAAGAACCAGATTTAACTAATCCAAATGTAGCTAAAATATTTAAATCTCTTTCTCCTTTTTAATATGATCCTGATTTCAATAAAAAATTTAATGATTGCATTTCTTTACCTCCTCATGTAATTATAATTACAATCTAAACTAGTAATTCATTAGCACCGGAATTATATATGTAGGTTAATGGAGAAATAAATAAAAACAAGGCAAAGGGCGTTAGTATTGGCCTGATGGAACTTATTATGAAGGATATTGGTAAAATCATGGAGCAAATGGCAAAGGAAGGTTGATTCGATCTGATGGTTCATATTATGTATTGTTAATTTATAAATAAATTTAAGGAAGGAGAGTGGGTCGATGATTTACAATGTGGATTTGGTAAATATGTTGATTGTGAAGGTAATATATATGAAGGAGAGTGGAAAGATGACGAAAAGGAAGGTTAAGGAAAAGAAATTTGGACATCTGGAGATACTTATATAGGTTAATATTAAGGAGGTATGAAGCATGGGAAAGGATAATATATATGGTCTAATGGAAACTCTTATGAAGGAACTTATTATAAAGATTAAATTGATGGATTTGGCACATATAAATGGCCAGACGGTTAAGTCTATACTGGAGAATGGGTGAAGAACTAAATGAATGGAAAAGGTACATTTATTTGGGCTAATGGCAATAAATATGTTGGTGATTACAAAGATGATAAAAAGGAAGGTTATGGAGTTTTTTCTTATTCAGATGGGAAAACCTATAAGGGAATGTGGCATAATGGAAAATAACATGGAAAAGGAATATTAATAGAAGCAAATGGGACAGAAATTGCTGGCGTTTGGGAAAAGGGTAGATTAGTTTAATAAGAGTGAATCTTAAATTTTTATATATTTTGCTTCAATAAATAAAATTGAATGTTCCATATTATAAAAATACCATTATCATTTTTAAATTTAATGTGTAACAAAAAAATTCTAAAACTCTTTAAAATTGTAATTTTAGTAACTTTATTATTTAATTAAAATTATTTTAATATATAATTAAATCTAATAGTTTAAATTAAACTTTAGAAGTTAAAGATTTTTGAAGCCATTTGATGAAAATAACTAATAGGTATATTTTCAACCATCTTATTACATACAACTAACCACCTAGGTTCATTTATTTTATGATTTTTGAAAAAATATTTGAAATTTCATAAAAAAGAATGTAATGTCCATAGAAATCAATCAATTTTGATGAAGAAAATAATTTTTTCAATCCTTATTCTCTAAAAAAAAAGGCTTTTAATAGGAGGATATGTAGTAGAATACAATTTTCATTTATTCAGTTTTAGATGTTATTTATGATGTACTTCTATTAAGAATTAATATTATTTTTCATAAAAATCTTAATAATATATTTTGCATTCATTCTTTGTTAAATAATTTATTAATTTAGTGATTCTTAAATATTGCTTATTTAAATGATGTTAAATACAAATATTAATTAAATTCTATCTGAATTCATAATTTTAGCGCTCGAGCTTTCCTGTAAATAATCCTTTTAAATTCTATTGTTTGCAGCTTCCAAAAAGGATAAACGAACAACAAAAATTCAAAAGAGAATAATTGGTCTAGCTCGCTGTTTACTGTATCAATTTATAACTATTTTAATATTGTTAGAATTAAATTGGTTTAAGGGGATAAAAAAAATAAAAACATAATAATATATTTATGAAGTTAAAGATATTCCTGGTTTAAAAACAATTAACATTTCTGAATAAATTAACTTTTAATTTTCTTTTCCATTTTATATTCTTTATCACATTAATCTATATCATAGTTATTAATAAATATAATATATTTATCATAATTTAAAATTATTATCAAAATGTTAGAAAATATAAATAAATAATTGATTAATTTAATGTAATAATTTGTATTCTATAAATAGATACTCATAAGTTAATTAACTCCAAATATAATAACTCTCTAAGAAATATTATCAATCATGTTTGAATTAGATAATTAAAAAAATAAATAGATTTATTTATATTTTAGTAGATTTAACTTATAAATTATAATCTATAATAACTATATACTCTCATCAGATTTAGAATCTCTAATTTTTATATTAAAAATATCTAATAGATGAAGCTTATCTTAGTATCCTTTAAAAAAAGATTAGAATTAAATAAAATAAAATAATTAATGCAATTTGTAGAATAAATAAAGGATCTGTGTGAAGATAATTAAAATTGCAAGAAAGAAAATTGTTAAGATTTACATCCCAGAATTTTTGTTGGAATTTGCATTCCTTATTTGCATAGTAAATGCAAATAGAAATCTAATTGCTAACTAAAACATGTAAATAAGGAAAAACTTAAAGAATTATTGTAAAGAAGTCTTATAAATGGAGTTTTTCAATTTAATTTATGCAGAGCAGGAACTACTTGTACTAAATCTAGTTGTTAGTTTTTACATAGAGAATGGATGAATGATATATGCCTAGACTATTTTGAAGCAAGCTGTTAATAGAAATAGGGTTGTAATTTGAAACATATTTATTGGAATAATTTGGCAAAGGAAGTATATAAGAAATACAATTAAGAAGGTGTAAATCCTGAAAATTATGACCCAAAGAATATTAATCATATATTTCAATAATCTGTATGTACTGATTATTTTGAAGGAATCTGTCCATATATAAGAAATTGTCCAAATTAAAATCATATAGATTGGGAAGATGTAGGAAAAGAAAATTTTTATAAGAAAACAAATTTGAGATAATGTACTTAGTAATTTAATAATACATAATATGGGTCTGTTGAAATAAAAGATACAAATTTTATTGATCATTTCTTTGAAAGATTACATAATGCATTAAGGAATAGACAAATAAAAAAATCTAATGTTTTAGATGTCTTATTTATTATAGATAGCACTGGAAGTATGTCAGATTATAAAAATATTGTTTAATAAAGTATTTCAACAGTAGTAAATTAATGTACAAAGTTGGTCAATGATTAAAAATTAGTAAGAGTGGGAGTAGTAGGTTATAGAGATTTTGATGATGATAAAAAAATAGAATTTAGAGAATTTACTAATAATCATAATTTGATACATAATTTTGTATAGCAACTAGAATTTAAAGGTGGAAATGATGATCCTGAAGATTTATTAGGAGGTCTTTAAAAGGCTCTTCGTTTGGATATAAGTGGATACTAAGAAAGTTTATTATTTTTGTTCTTATTTTGTGATTCACCATCCCATGGACCATATCATTTAAATTTATGTGATTTATATCGAGATTCAGTTTAAGAAGGATAAATTGAAAAAGTAATACGAAAATTTTATGGCCGTAAAAAAGATAGGACTTTTTTCATTGGTTTGAAATTTACAAACTAAACTGATTATATGTTTGAAAAAATAAAAGAAGCACTTCCAAATGCTATTATACTTGAAGCCAATGATTAAAATTTACCTGAAAATTTAAGTTAACTAATTGAAGGATCTTATAAAAGCTCAATGATAGAAAACCCAAAATAAGAGAAAAAAATTAAGGCAAGATTTATTTATACTACTTGTTTAAAATTTGAGATTTCTGATTATGAAAAAATTGATTATTGTAAAAAATTTCTTGCTTATTAAAAAGAAAATGAAACTTAAGAAATGACAATGCTTATAATATAAGAAAAATGTATTGAATTAAAAGGATAAGAAAAAGGAAATAACTGTGATATTTTTCTAGGATTTGATATATTAAGAAATAAATAGATTGTAATCAAAATTCCAAAATATATTATTGAATCATATAATAAAAAAAAATAGCTTACAGCTCAATAAGAGGAAGAATACAAAAAATTTTTAGATACTCGATATCTTAGTTTATTAATAGCATAACATTTAGCTTATCATTTTAGGATTGCTACATAAAACATTTAGGAAGCACCTCCTATCTTTTTTGCTTCACCTGTTAAATATATACTTGATGAACCATTCTTTGGTAGAACATAATTATTTGCTGAATCATACATTAATAGACCTAATAGAAAATGGTAAAAATATACAAATAATAATCGTTATTCTGATCATTAAGAATATCATTATACTGCCTTTTCACACTACACTTATCAAATGACAGGAAAATAATTGGTAATTACAGATTTATAAGGAAAAGAAAATGTATTATCAGATCCTGTCATTCATACACTTGATAATCAAATCAAAAAAATTCTACAGGATAAACACAACTTCAGCTAAAAAGGACTTGAAGAGTTTTTCAGCGGGCAACATCGAGACTGCCACAAATTATGCAGTGAACTTAAATTATATGAATATAATAGAGGTGGGGTTCTTACTATTGATGAATAAAAAAAGAATACAGGATGGATTAGATAACCTGATGAAATTTTGCCTGGTATTTGTGAAATTTGTGGATAATTTACAAAGTCTACTTATGAAAATTATCAAAAGTAAAAGCCTAAAATGGTTTGTGAAAATTGTTAAGATGGACAATTGGAATATATAGATATTACTTGTCAATGTTGTTTAAATGATTACTCTTGTTAAATCAATATTTAGATCAAAAATTTGCAATTACCAGAAAAATGTTAAGATTGTAAGCAATACTGTATTGAGGGTAATCAGAATAAATGCTTGTATTGTGATTCAATTTGTAAAAAAAGACTAAGGCAACTCTAAATTTAGGATCAAAAAATAAGCATATGTTCTGTAGCATAATAGTTTCTTAATTCTCTTAAATGCTATTATTGTAAAGCCTTTTATAAGTTTGATATTAAAATAGAAAAAGAGAAATACGAAAAATCATTTTATTTATGTTTAAAATGTTAATAAAAAGGTTTAGACTGAGTTTTACTAATTGTTTTAAAAATTTAATCATAAATAATAAATTTTTTATCAATGTTAAAATAAATCTCATCTTTTTTATTATTAATATATTCTTATTCTTTTTTTTTTAAGAATCAAGTCTTAAATTAATGTTTAACTATTTTCATAGGAAATGAATATAATTATAATTAATATTAATTTTTATTGTAACTGATAAACTTCACAATTTTGGTATTTATTAAGGAACTTCCTATATACCTAATACTTTCTCTAATGTATCCAATCCATATTTAGAAGGAGCTCCTGTTTCCTTTAATAAATTTCTATTTAATCTAGAATTTTTAAGATATTCCTTATTCATAAATTTTTAATGCCACTCAATCATTTTATCAGTACCAGGTGTTTATAAACCAAGCATTTCTGATAAATCCTAAAATTCAATATTATGATATAATTACTTTAAGTATACATAATCCATAAGGAATATCTTCCCAAAAGATTCTAGCTTCAGTATTTAATTAAACACCTCCTTAAACAGGTTTAGTAGGTATTTAAATAGTAGCATATCCAGCATTAGTTCTAAATACAGTTTTCAAATTAGATTTATCTTTAACTTGATCACCATATTATTAAATAATTCTTTCCTTAATTGGTATAATTAGATCTAAATTAAAATGAGGGTATCTTTTGAGGATCTCTCTTTTGATAGCTTAGATTTCATCATCCAAAATTTGGAGCATATAGGCACTAAAATCATCAAAATCTTCATAAAATGTAGGTACTTCACTAGGTTGAAAAACTTATTTACCATCCCAATTCTAAAAATAAATATAATTATTCATACTCGAAATACAGCATAGACTCTAGCAGGATGAATGATTTGATTGCTAGGAGTTAATGTTAAAGTTAAAAAATTGGGTGCTTAAAGTACAGGAATTTAAAACATGTTCTCCAATAATAAAAAGAGTTCTTCTTTCCTACTTAAATTTGAGAGTGCACATTAAAGCTTAGTTTTTGGACCAATTATTCTTACAGATTCTCCATATTTAAAAATTTTGCAAAGCCAAGGAATATTATAAAGACCAAAGTAAGTGATGTTATCGGTTTTGATTCTATCTCCAAAAACGCTTCTGCACATCCATTCAAATCCACCTTATGCATATAATGTACCCTTTATTATATTTATAATAATATTTACCACAAATGAATCCTTTGTAACAAATGGAGCAATTTTTTATAATATTTCATGATGAACATGAGCTGGTCCTCCTATGATCCATAATTTTGCTCCAGGAAAATCTTAAGGATTATTAGAAACCTTATTAATTTTTCCTTAATTATTGAAAATTAAAGAACATACCAACAAAATTTCCAAGTGATTCCCATGGACTTCCTTTGGTCAATCCTACAATTTCTTGTTTCCAATCTTGAGGTTTTCTAGTAAAGACATTCACTTAAATGTTTTCAAAACGACCTGCTGATGCTACAGTGGCATGAGAACCATTTCCACCTCCACATACTACAATATTTGTTGGAATCATTTAATTTTATTTGATTAATTAGATTAAAGTGAAAGTTAATACAAAAAAAAAATAAAAAATTTTTCCGATACCGGGGATTGAACCCGGGTCCCCAGGGTGAAAACCTGATATCCTAACCACTAGACTATACCGGAAATGTTAATAGGTTAATTAACATTGGAGTTATATTTGGCAAAAATTTACATATTATATTTCATTATCTTTATAATTTTTCAATATAATTCAATAATTCTCTTGGTGTAACTTATTTCCTATCTTCAGACAATTTAAATTTTTGCTAATAATGAGTATTATTCACAATATATATTGTAAGTTCTAACATCTTTTCTAAATCTAATTCATAAAAATTTTAATTCTATAAATATATATAATAATAATACCTTCAATTAATTAAATACTTCTATATATCTTTCAGCTTAATCTAATTAGAAATCCTTGTCTGTATATAATTCATCTGATTTGGAATCCAAAAGCATTACTCTTACATTTCTGGGAATGACTTGAATATCTTACTCATCAAGTTTTAGCAGTTCCTTCAAGCTTGGGTTATTTTAGAAACACTTACTTCAATTTATTTTGGTGTCATATTTTCCATTTTTTCCTTAATGATTTTGTCTATCTACAATTTTGGAAATATTTGTAATTTTTATATATCACTCTAATGTTAATCATTATTACTAATATTTTATATATATGTATAATATACTTTTAAATATAATTACTTTAACTTCTTTGTAGATAACGTGTTTGATGTCCTGCATTTTCTGGTTGACTAAAGTATCTTTTCAATTCTAAAGGATGATTTTCTGGAATCAAATGTGATTCTTCCATGAGCTTTTCTAATAATTAAATTTGATCTCTCTTTAAACGATTAGCCTCTTCAGGATCAACATAAAATTAAAATTCCTCCATAACAGGCCCATCAGGTGTTAGATGTCTTTTCTTCATAAAATTAATTCGAAATTCATCCAGGATATCTTCTCTTTATTGAAATCCTTTAACTTTCTTTCTTCCTAATTCAGCAATAACATTATTTTGAATTTCAGCAATGTCTTTAGATTATTGTTCTTTGAGCATTTACTCTTATCGTTGATATTCTTAACGACTGATATTAGAGTGTCCTAATGATTGCCATTTAAATTAGTAATATTTTTGTTTGTCTTTCAATTCTCTCTGCCCCATTAGAAGTATTTACTTAAGAGTTTTAGAGTATTGAGACTCTTTAGAAGACTCATACAAAATATCCTATAAAATCTAATTTATTAATGAGAAATATCAACCTATTCAATATTGATAGATTCTATAGGACATCGAATAAGATTGGTTTATTCTGGATTTCGAATGGACTCAAAGAGTATTTGGTTTGTTTGCTGTTGCTCTTTTGATTTTTTTTTTATAATAGGCAATTCAGGTTAGATTTCCTCAAAGATGTCGCTGTAATCATCATCCTTCTCTATCTTGTTGTTTTATTTTCGCTTAGTATTCTTTTTACTCATTTATTTAAATATTAAAAATATCTAATTACAATTCACTTCTTTTTTTTCGGGGTTGTTTTTAAAGTTCTGAATGCATTAATCGAAAAATAGGTCAATAAGACTCCTCCAAGGATTGGGAACACAAGCAAGTAATTGAAATTCATTCCAAAAACACCTATTGAAGGAACTGTAGATTGCATTTCATTTTGGGTTTCCTTAAGAAATTCAGTTTCAAGAGTTTTGATAATACTTGAAATGGTGTCATCTAATTATGGGTTTGGAATGATGTCTTTGTTTTTCAAATCTTTTATATAATGAGTGTAATCAAAGCCCTTAACAACTTCTCTATATGTTAAATGAAAAGATAGTCCAGCCTCAAAATCTTTGATTATCTAAAAACGCGTGTTAAATATGTATGCTTACTTATTTACTATCTGCAAGGGGAAGGGCAGTAAAACACTTTTTAACCATATAAACTCTTATATCATGTACAATTTTCTCTTTGTCACTCTATGAATAACGTTTAGCCACGGAATCAACTACATGATCAAAAGTCTTAAAAGCATAGAGAAATTTATATACCTTGAATTTTTGATTGTCTTATAATGTGATAAGCCAACATGAAGTGATAACCTCTATATTATCAGAGACACCATGAACAAATTAGATGCAAAGACTTAGACAAAGAGCCAATATGTATGGAAACATGATTTATTGTATTATTATTAATTTAATTATTTTGTATGCCACCTAAAACGACAAAAGATCAAAAGGGTCGACAATTATTTAGAGTAGGCACACCGTTAAAGGATGTGATACCATAGAGTGTTAAGAATCCACCAAGAGATCCAAAACCACTTAAAGGACCAGAATAAATTAATAAATAGAGTATGTAGGGTAAAATGAATTGATAAATGTTAAAGAATATCATCCATTTCCTGATCCAGAGGAATGGCCAGGTGATGAAGTTGTTTAAGCCATAAATCTTCTTTAGGGAGATGCTTAACTTACTAAGTGCAATTTTGAAACTGACAAATATGTTCCATTTTGGAGAAGACCCAAGAATTTTTTAAGATAAAGATGGCAATAGTAAATATATAATTGATGTTAGAGAATCTGAACATGAACCACCTTATATGGAAATGAGAGAAAATAGATATAATATGAATGATGATTATTATTAGACTAGACTTGAAACAATTGAAAAAATACATTTTATGGAAAAGGAAGTTGAACATCAATTGACTATTTGTGAGAGTTATGAAAGAATGGAAACACCTGAAGAAGTAGAATAAAGAAGAAAAGAATTTTTAGAAAAATAGGCAGCTTAATAAAAAAATAAAAAGGGTAATAAAAAACAAGCAGAAGAAGTATTTGATGAAAATCCAAAGATGACATCTGATGTTAGATTAAGTGATTTAATTTGTAATGATACATTACCACCTAATTCTCGTTGGATTGCATCATAATTATAATAGATTAAGGATAGAGATATTAAAGATTGTTTTACTCAAAAATCATTATCAAGCAAGATATATCCATAAAAAGATGGAGCACCAATATATAATCCAAATGGTAAATATATAGTCAAATTATATTTTATGGGAAAGGAGAGAAAAATATAAGTTTCTGATCATATGCC